AACGCGTGCATGCCCGAGATGGACCGGTCGAAGACGGCGCGCCAGCCGTTCTCGTCGTCCTCGGGGCAGATGCCGCCGATGCAGGTCCTCCGCGCCTTCGTCGAGCCCGCGAAGGACAGGTTGTCGTAGATGAACCGCCAGACGTGGCTCCCGTCGTAGGCCGTGTAGCCCTCGGGGTAGGCCTCGAGGTCGTAGTAGTCCTCGCTCGGCAGGTCGAAGCGCGCCCAGGCGTCGAGCTCGAAGGTCCGCTCGCCGCCGTCGCGCTCGAGCAGGTCCAGCGGCGCGGGCTCCTCGGGGAGCACCTCGCACGCGTCGAACTCGCACTCGTCGACCGCGCCGCCGATGTAGGCGCAGTTCGCGAGCATGTCGATGCTGTAGAGGCTGAAGAACTTGAAGGACCGCAGCTCCTCGAGGTTGCTCAGGACCTAAGCGAACAGTTGGTCGTTCGGTTTCGTAAAACGGGAAGCGGCGCGGGCGGACGCGCGTTGAGGTCCGCGGCCCCGAGATCCGCGATGAGTTCCGCGAGCTCGGAGACGCTGTTCTCCGCGTCGACCGGCACGTCGAGCACGCGTCGCCGCGACAACGACCTCCCGCGCATGCCGTTCAAGCCGTTGCGGCGCGCCAGCGGCGCCGGCAAGCGCTGGAGCGCCGACGCGGTCGCGATGAGCGCCACGGACCTGAGGATCATCGTCGCGCGCGGCCGACGGGACCTTCCGCCGAGCGCCTGCCAAGTCGGGCTGCAGCCGGCGTCGGTCGAGGCGAGCGGCAGCCGTCCGGAGCTTGGTCGAGGAGCGGCTGCCGGAGAGCGTCGCCGCCGGCGTCACCGGCAGCATGGCCGCGAGCTCGAGGACTCGCGGCATGCTGCGCACGGTGCTTGCCGCTAGCGTCTTAACGAGCGCGTCGTCGCTCGTCGCGCCGCTTCGACGCGCGCCGCGACCGACCGCGCTCGGCGCCACGCAGCTCGAGGCCTTCCTCGAGGGCCGGCCCGGCGCGGCGCGGTTCTACGAGTGCGTCGGCGAGGGCTGCCTCACGAGCCGCCCCGTCGACGAGCCGG